TATTGTAACATTATGATGGCACCATAGAGGATTGTGATATCACATGGGGCGATAGTGCTGGCACATTGGAGCATTATGAAGTCACATTGGTGCATTGTGAAGTCACATTGCAACATTGTGATGAGACATTGTAGCAATATATTGGTACATGGGGTGATAGTTTTGGCACACTGGAGCATTGTGATTTCACAATGGAACATTGTGAATTCATATTGTACATTGTGATGCCACCATGGATGATTTTGTTGTCACAATGGGGAATGTGAGGGGACATTGAGCACCATGTCTGCATATTGAGCATGGTAACAACACAATGGATCATGGTGATGACACAATTGCACATAGTTGATGGCCTCATGGAGCATTGTTATGGCACATGTTGAAACCCACAAATAGCAGGTGGAATGAATTTTGTCCTCATGTAGCCATTCCTTCCCTAAATGACAAACACTGAAGTGATACCAGTCCAAAGAGGTGCCTCTTATACGCATCTCTGTCCCAAAGGGTACTTGTTCTTCTGAGGGGCAGGTCCTGCTGCAGAGAATTAGCTGCAGAGAGTTAGCTATGGAGTGTCACACCACCTTGGAAGCGGCTGGCATGGAAAAAATGTCCCTGGTGTCCCTGGTGTCTCGACTGCGTGGGCATGAGAGGGGCCATTTACTGATTTGGGGTGAGGCTGCCGGCCCACTAGGCCTGAGTGAAAGCTAACAGAGACTGAGGGTGGGGTACAGCAGCAATCTGGAATGGCAGGCCACTGAGCCACAGAGCACAATGGGGTCCCAGGTGTTCACCTTTTGTGGGGTACAGGGTGTTCGCCTTTGTAAGTTGCTCTATTTCCCCTACCCAGGATATGAACTATGAAAAATTCAGACAAAGACATGCTATGTGGTTTGTCTAATAGCTCCAGGAGTAAGTGAACCTAAGAGAACTCAGGAAACAGCATCCTACCCCCAAAAGATGTGAAGAATGGTGTATTCCCCTAAAACATACTTCTCAATCAATTTTTGCCTGCAACATGCAATCAAATAAACAAGATGTTTTTCATCAACCCCACTTTTGTGAGATCGACTCTTTGATCCAGAAAAATCCTCTCTATACTTGCTGTTTTCAATTATACCTTGGCCACAAGTGTTACCCTAGCCCTGCTGTAGCCATTCACAAAGCACTTATTTCCCCTCATAGGTTCCCACTGTTTTTGGGGCCCTCGTCACTTCTTCATCTCTGCATTGTCTAGTTTAAGCACAGACTCAGAGTCACTCCTCAAATAACATTTGTAAGAGTTAAAATGAAAAAAGTCCAGGTCTCCATCTATTATCCTGTAGATTGTTCTGACAATCTGAAGAGCTACCGCCTGGAAAGAGAAGAAAGAGGATTGAAGATGTTTGACATGCACATAATGTGCAATAATATAAGATTTCTAGAAACCCCTTTAGGCTCTTATTTACTTAAAAGCAATAACTTAACAGCACTACAAGATGCTGTTTGGCAGTCCCAGTAGTGAACAGGCAAGTTTTTCTATATTCAGGAAGCAGACATGCCAACTCAGCTCTAGGGCCTTCCAGCAGAGTTAGTATTGCAATAGTCTGGTGGATCTTCGATAGGAGCAGACAGAAGATAAATGATACTCTCTCTAGCACCGCCTCTGTCTCTTCTGTCACAGTCTTCACAGTTGTTTCCTGCTTGTTCGTTTTACTTTGTTTTAACTTTCTCTGTCACTGTGAAATTGTCTTCACAGCGGCTCTATTCCCTTTGCAAAATGAAGTTGGTTATAAATTTGGTCATGAAAGTAATTAGTGCCTCTCTCAACTCCCACTAGAGACACTTCCTTAAACAGCAGATGGTGATGAACAAAGAAACCCATCACTGGGAATGTGCAGAGAATAAGAGACTGCAGAGTCATTATCCTTGCACAAGACACTTTTTAAGAGTGTGTCTCAGTGAGACTCTCAGGAGATTAACCAGGCTTCAGTGGATGGTCCTACACTGCAGGACATATGAGAACACAAACTTGAGTCTATATGCCTTAATATATAAATAATTGAGTACATCAAATTTGGGGGATAAGAAAGGGGTGCAAACGCTGAGTGTGTTGGTGCATGCCTATAATCACAGCTCTCAAGAAGCAGAGGCAGACAGAGCTCTGTGAGATCAAGGCCAGCCTGGCCCATATAGTGATTTCCAGGCAGGCTGGAACTAGAGAGAGCCTCTCAAAAAGAAAGAAAGAAAAAAAAAACAACAGAAAACCAGAATAAATAAATAAAAAATAAATAAATAATAAATAAATATAAGGGGGTGCAGATAGAGAAGGGGGTCCTAAATATGATCAAAATATACTGTACGTAATTCACAAAAATTCAGTTAAAATGGAAAATAATAGAAAATAATCATTTAAGTTGCGATAGCAGATTAACGTTTGGAAACTACTTCAGAAGAAACAAAATCAAGAAATACAGAAAGGTAAACAAAAATTAAACTCTATGATCAATGTCTAAACTCAAAATGGAGAATGTATAAGTGGCACAGTCCAGTGGTACCTTGGCTTCATCCGTGAGACCCACTGTCAGTCTAGATTAAAGTCCTTCTCTTCATGCAGTATCTTTCGGTTTCAATGTGACATGATAATATCTGAGGAACAAAGACTACAATTCTTAATTCAATAGCCCCTAAGCAAACGAAATGATGGATGAGCTAATTTGATGAGACTGTCACTACAGCCAAGATGAAAAATATCAGAGTGAGAATGAAGAAAGAAGGACTAGAATGGACACTGGGGGGAAAATATGGGACTGGAGAAACGACTCAGCAGTTAAGAGCACTGGCTGTTCTTGCAGAAGACCCAGGTTCAAGTCCCAGCACCCACATGGCGACTAACAACTGTCCCTAACTCCAGTTCTACAAGATCCTAAGCCTTCTGTCCTCCGCGGGCACTGCACACCATGGATGCACTTAACACTATGCAGGCGTAACACTCATACACATAAAATGAAAACAAATACTTTATTTTCAAAAAAGAAAATGAAGGCTGAGAAGCAGTGTGTCCAATGATAGTGCAAAGGAAAAAGAACAGCAAGAAGTCTGAGAACGAATGATGAAAATAACGCTGGAGAAGCAGCAGCCCCTCCTGTGGGAGCATGCCTCAGTCTTCATCTGCACTATGATGCCCACAAGAGACCCCAGATAGGTCTGAGTCTGAAAGCAAGGCCTGGTAGCTCCCTTTCCCCATTTTCTCTCTATATGTTATATGGACAAGTGGCTTTGAACTCTTCGCATGTTAGTCCCTAACATTGTTTTTTAGCATATTTTAATTTTTAATTTTTTTATTTAATTTTTTTAAAAGTAGCAAGGAAACTTTATTCAAAGCAAAATGATAGTACAGGTCAGAAATCTAATGTCAAGATTAACAGTCATGTGTGTGAAAATATTCAGGTCCCAGTTATTGTCTAGGGACTACTTTTATGTGGTTCAGGATAAGGAGGAGTTTGGTTGCTAAGGGTCATAATTTAGGTGGTTCTATCTTGACTGAGAGAGCATATAAGTTATAGAACCACATATGTTATGTAACTATTTGTCTATTGTGAAGGTCCCTTCCCATAATGATCTGATATTAATTATATGCATGCCTAATTATGCATAGGCATAAGACGATAACAGGGATTTCCACCTAAAAGCTCACTTAAAGACTCACTTTTGCCTTATTCTACATCTACCTAAACCAGTCTAGGTTGGATCACCTCTCTACCCTCAAATCAAGATATATTGGGAATATGAATGAATAAAAATTACCCAATTTTATAGTTGTTAACAGGAGGAGAAACTTACTCCTTTGTTTTACAGCAGGAGGTGATTCTCAGGAATGGGGATTCCACTGAGACTCATTACCCAGGAGTTAATAAGGATTTAGTGGGTAGAGGAAGCTAGAGGGGGATGAACTGCTCAGTCCAGTTGGAAGTGGGTATATGTGCAGCTTGATGCAGATAGGGGTTTTATGGTGCTAACAGGTTTTTAGATACATTGCCTGGAGTGGGGCATGTGTACAAAGTGTCTTGGGCTATCAGGTACATTATTATTAGAAGGGGTTGTGTGCATAGCCCAGATGAAGTGGAGTCTCAGGTTTCTGAACTTCCTACGCTTCCCTTATTCAAAACAGCTTAAAATGTGTAAGTGATAAGAAACAATACTGATACCGGATACAAGAATATCGGGGCGTCTTTGAGAGGGATGGAGCCTTTTTCTGTATAGTTTGAGAGGCTAGGGTCCTGGAAATTCAATGACCACCAAAGGCACCTCAAGCCACAGGTGAATTCGAAAAATGAAATTCAGGGACCACAGAGAATGAGCTTTAGAAAGGAGTATTTTATTATAGGGAGCTTAGAAGAGAGAAAAAAGGCAGAGCTCCTGTCCCTGGTAATGGGATTCCACTGAGTCTCATTAGCCTGGAATTAATAAAGATTTAATGGAGGGAGGAGGGGAGAGAGAACTGAGCTTGTCAGTCCAGTTCTCATTCCAAGTGCCCAGGCACCTTGAGGTCTTGGTCACATCCTCAGCATGTCTTCCAAGAAAAGAAAGATAAGAAAAAAAATGGACCCCCTCACTGGCATCCCCAGCCTCTGGCCATGGCCGAACCAGAGACATATTTCTGATAGATGGTTCTGGCATCTCTAGCCTCTGATAGGGACAAGTTTCCTGGCAGGTTTTCTTTTGGGGTCTTTACCTAAACTGCCTAGCCAATTTCTACCCCCTGCTCTTATCAATACCTTTCAAAATACTGTGCTTAAGTGAACAAGAATAATTATTTCTGAGAGTGACTCTATGATCCTCTTAGTTTTGTGCCTTGAAAGAATTGCCAGGGCATGAAACATGGAGATTGGCAAAAATCTCTTTTATATTTCTTATTTACTTATTTATTTTATTGAATTTTAAAATTTTAAATTAATATTTGTGCTATCAAGTTCAAATTATTTATGAACACTCATTGAAAATATTTTATCAGATAAGAAGAGTATCTAAGGTACTCCCCACTGCTCTTTCCTTACAACTTCTCAGGAAGGAAACCAAGCTGATGCAGGACCATCCACAGTGATAATTTCACCTCCTTATTCCTGAGGCTGTAGATCAAGGGGTTTAGCATAGGGGTGACCAGGTTATTCAGGATCTGAACAGTTGCATCCAAACAGGGGTTTGCGGTTGGCCTTAGGTATATGAATATCACTGGCATGTAGAAAAGCAAGATTGCAGTAAGGTGGGCACTGCAGGTGGAGAAGGCTCTGTGTCGCCCCTCAGCAGAGCGGATCTGAAGGATGGAGCATATGATGCAGCTGTAGGAGGTGAGGATGAGGAAAAAGCAACCAAGGGGCGTGAGGCCTACGCTGATGAATCCCACCACCTCCAGGGTTGAAGTATCTGCACAAGCCAGCTTCAGCATCACGGGGATATCACAAAAGTAATAGTCCACCTCATTGGGACCACAGTAGGGCAACTGGAAGGTGAGAGCAGTTAGATAAGTGGAATGAATGCAGCCCAGAACTGATGTCCCCATGGCCAGGATGGCACACACTTTGTAGCTCATGATTACGGAGTAGCGTAGAGGGTGGCAAATGGCTACAAAGCGGTCATAGGCCATCACTGTGTACAGAAAACACTCAGTACCACCAAGGAAATGGTAGAAGAAGAGCTGGGACACACAGCCTCCATAGGAGATGGCTCGGCTGTTTCCTGAGAGGAAGAAGAGCATCTTGGGAGAACTCACAGAAGGGAAAAATATGTCACCCAGAGACAACTGGCACAGGAAGAAGTACATGGGAGTGTGAAGCCGCGTGGAGGAGACAATTGTCAGTAAGATTAGCAAGTTTCCTGTAAGAGTGAAGATGTAGAAGGACAGAAACAGGACCAAGAGCATGGTCTCCAGACCCTCTGTGTGTGGGATGCCCAGCAGGATGAACTCAGTCACCACTGAGAGATTCCTCATAGCTCTGAGTGTGTCTGACCTTGAAAAGGTCAACCTTTTCCTCATTAGAAAACTGACCTTCTCCTGATGGGAGAACCGAATCTATTAAAATTGTTATGACATATTCATATTTCAGAGTCAGTTTACCCAATGAATTCTTTGAAGGGATGCTTCATGAAGGCAAATGATTATCTTCTTTGACCAGACCAGAATATAGGAGACATATTCAAAACTTTCTCAAGTTAGAAAGTTCTTTAGTATAAGTATGCAGCTGAACATGTTTGTGTTTTGACCTTGATGATATCTTTAAGGAGCCAACTTCTACTATTCATTATCCTCTGCAAATAATAGGAAAAGATCATTTTAGAAATCATGACATTTAATAATGATTTCTGACTTTGGTTCTTTTTAGCTATACTAATTAAAATTATTTATATAAGGTGTTTCATAGTCATCTACAAATTTGAAATACATTTTTTTCTAATAACAATTAACGTCAGCATAAACATATACTGGTATCACAAAAAAATTTATAAAATGTCTCTGAAAATGCCTGGCAAAACTTAATAAATTCTAAGTTAAATTTTTCTAAACTTAATGAATCTGAACTGATAGATAATGCTAGCCAGGAGGAGGATGAAAAGGCCCTTTGTGGTCATGATTATAAGGTATCATGTGAGGCACATTGTTCTAAATATGTTAACTTCCTCTGAGACCACTGGCATACTCAGTGGCCAGCAATATCCTGGAAAATAGTACTTTACAAATGGCACGATTGAGGGTCAGCAACTGTCTTTACAAATACTGACAGTGGCTGCCTCATGTATAGACCAGGTAACAGGGACCTTCTTTGATGCAAGGCGCCTCTTGCCTTACAGAGGGTCAACACAAATCTGAAAGATAAAAGAATTACAGCACACCTGAGGCTGATTATGTACTTTAAACCTTCCAAAAGCCCCACCCTGAAAAGTCATTGCTTGTAGACCTTCACTATTGGTGAAGTCTTCTGAGAATACATGAAGTTAGAAAGTTTAAACTATGCAGATTTCAAATAGAACACTAAAAAACCCTCAATCTGCTTGTAGCTCATTCTCATGCACTAGCCTTTCAGTAAGCAATAAAGATCCACAGGTTGCAGGCAATTGATTGCAATGTTAAAGATCAGCCCAGAGCAAGGCTGTATGCTGGCCAGAAAGCTTAACAGGTAAACTGTTGACAGTAATATGGTTTGCTCTTCCTTCCCGATCTAAAGCCACACAGCTAAAAAGCCAACTACCAGCTATAAATTCTGCTAGTTATTCCTTTCTAGTCACAAAGCTAATAGATAAATCAATAGCAGTAAATGCAGTTAATTATCATTTCTTTGAATCTTCGATACATAGTGAGTTCTGGGCCATGCAAAATAACTCTAAACTAAATATAAGGTTAAACCAAATAATGCATGTTATTTTCCTCTTAAGGGGCTGAAGAACTAGCTCAGCAGTTAAGAGCACTTGCTGCTCTTCTAGAGGACCCAGATTCAATTCCCAGCACCCACATGGCGTTTAACAGCTGTCCATAGCTCCATTTCCAGGAGATCTGACTCCCTCTTTTGACTTCTACAGGCATTGCATGACACAGATGCACTTAGACACAAGCAGGCAATACACTCATACACATAAAATAAAAACAATGAATTAAATTAAATTAAAAATAATTTTGTCCTCTTGGGTGACCTGAAAGAATAAAGTTCAACTTTCATGCTCAAGGTCCATGTCTCCCTAGGGAAAGGTCAATTTTATGTCCCTTTTAATAAAATGCATAAGGAGAACAGATCCTGAGCAGGAAACTCTCTCTCCACAACACAAAAATTTTTCCAGAATTCTCTTCAGTGTTCATTTTTAAACCTTTTTGTCAATGAGATCAAGAACCCGCAAAGGGAAATCTGTGCCCAGGATAAGACAAAAATTAGTGCTATAGGGTTTTTCATTTAGTGTTTTGTTTTTGTACTTATTTTCCAAATAAAACTTTTATTAAGTAATACTATTAAGTAGACTTATGTCACCTCCTCTTGGTTGCATCCCTGCAGAAGTGAAAGAGTTCAGAGATCCCCAGTTCTAACATAAGCTGCTGCCTTGTCATCCTGTTACCTATTCTAAAAGAACTTAGGGCAACTCAAGAATCAACCAAAGGGAGCAGAAGCAAGGAACACATCAAATGCATGCTATTGTGGTGAAATGGGAAAGACAGTGGCCTGTGTAGAATAAAGGCAAAGGATAGCACTAACAGGGAGATTATGTCAGTCAGGAGCAGAGTAGACACCTAGAAGACAAAAGGAGTTCTTCCTGTCATTACTCATTTGGTAACAGAAATAATCATTGCACACATACACATACCATTTAGTAAATACATACTGTGTTCCAAGGACTGACAAGTTATTTCTAAAATATGATTTAAAAATAAATCAATATTCAGTTTCTTCTGTTATGACTCACATCTGTACACAAGAAACAAAAACTCAGATGCATTAAGGAAATTGCCTTGGTGGCAAAGCTAGTATATAACAGCCTTGGTTTATTGCATGCCTCTGCTGTTAATCTTTAGGAAAATCTGCTTTCTGCCTGGCTTTCTAAAACAGCATCATTTACTGCTTGGAAGTGAAGTATTACCTAAAGGAAATGAAGCACTTCTTGTTGCTTTATATAAAAGTGAGAAAAAGACATCATGTCTCATCCCTCCCCAGTCATTTGTAGTTTACTTAAAAAAAACTATTTAGTGTGTATGTTTGTGTGCTTATGGGAATTGACCCTCTCCTTCCACTATTTGGCTCCTGGGGATTGAACTCCGGTTATCAGGCTTGGTGACAGGTGCTTTTATCCACTGAACCATCTTGCTACCTTATTTTCAATCTTATTTTAGATTTTAATTAAAACTTAATTTTAGAAATCACACAACATATTTTTACTGTTCACACATTATATCATGATATCAACTGCAACATAAGAGCTTTTATAATACATAGCCACATTCAACAGAAATATTCCAGTCAAGATTGAGGCCAGCGTGGTCTATATAGTGAGTTTCAGGCTAGTCAGAGCTACACAGTGAAACCCTCTCTCAAAAATTTAAAAAGAAAATGTAGTCAGGCTGTAACAAGTGCTACAAAAATATCTCTAAAGATAATGGCCAGTCCACCATGGATCAACCCACTATACCATAAAGAAACTGTAGACTCTAAAAAGAGATGCTGTAACATTCTGAGGAGTGAACTGAAAGCAATCACTTGTTAGCAATGCTGGTCATACCCGAGAGTCTCTCCCTCCCACTGGTAAGCAAAGACCTTCAAAGTTTTCTGGTCTTGGTTTCTCAGAGATTGTGATATTCTGTGATTCTGTAGTCTCATTTAACATTAACCTTCCTTTCAGAAAATTACAGTCCCTAAGGATCAGGCAATTCCTCATGTGTTACATGTCAGTGTGAGGAGCATAGACAAAGAGTGAGACCTTGGCAGATACCTGAATGAACTGTCCAGCTGGAAATAGGGCCCACATTTTCCAGACTGCAGTGACAGGAACTTGCATTAGTATTCATGATCAGAACACACTGTGCTCCAGCCCAAGGGGCCTCCACATCCTACTTATAAAGAATGAGGTCACATGGAGCTAGTGCAATCAAGATCAGGACACTGGGTCCCAGTGCTGCTTTCTCACACTGTTTTTCACATCCTCTTAAGCTCTGCTTGAAACTCAGGGATAGCTCTGAGGGAGCAATTAGTTTATCAACTTCACTCATCATCCAGGTGTGAAATAACAGTGGTTATATCACTGTAAAGAGATGCTCTAAAGTATAAAATATATTTCATGGTGACTGCAAAGTAGAAATGGTTAAAATTCTAGTATTAGTTCCCCTACAATGCTAACCCTCCACTTGGCTGTCGCTTGCATCATTATGCCTTTGTGACATCATCTATCCATTACTTAAAAAGTTCTCTGAATATCTTCAATAAAATCCACTATTTAAAACAGAAACAGAATCCATTAGTAATTACACAAACACACACACACAAATTTATATATATATATATATACATATATATGTATGCGTATATATCAGTATGCAGTCTCAGGTCATTAACCTAAGGAGAAATATTAAAATTTCTTAAATTCAAAATCATCTTAAAAATAAATCTTCAGCCTAATAGCCAATAATATATTAATAGTTCATTGTAAGCACTGATTACATTTTGAGTCCTGTAAATGTTTTAGTTTTAATATTGTTTGACAATTTTGTACATTTATATAATGAATTTTAGTCATTTTCACCAACTTCCATTCCCCTTTTCTAATTACCCTCCCTCTCCTTTTGAAACCCTTATTCTTAACCAGACCTGTTCTTACTTTCATGTGTTTACTTTAATGTGACACACTGAAGTTAATTACTTTTTTGTGTGAATATGGTTGAGAGTTTATTTACTGGAACAAGAAAATGTATCAGTGGTTGCAACACTGAAGACAGTGATAGCCATATCTCCCTTCTCCAACAACTTAACTGCCCATGACCGATTCATCATTGATGGTGGAAGGACCTGTCAGGTCCCACCTCTCCCTGAAGAACTATAAGTTTTAAATTTGTGACAACATTTTCATCCTAAAGAAATTTTACTTCAAATGTATTATATGACAGTAAAACTGAAAGACAATATTTAAAAAAACAGAAATATTACATAACTACAAGGTACTGAGTTGAGACCACCTTTTCAAAGCAGTGGTAACACAGTCTAGAAACTCTGGGTTTGTATATAAGCAAGAGATAAAGACATAAAATGTAGTCTGTCAGTGCTTATGGAACTGCTAAACTTGATATGAGTTGATCCTTGAATGAGCTCACGAATCAGAGACAAATACAATAAAAATATTAACAAATTTCAAAATGGAAAAAGCAATAGAGAATGTACACTGATTGAATGAGCAACCTTATAATATAAACATAATAATTCCTCTGTCACTGGAATATAGGAAGATATGCACAGAACCATTATTCAGGTGTACCATGGAGAATACTCCCAATTT